GTTACAGAGTAGTTGTAAAGATTAAATGATACATTTCATTGCTGATAAATATAAAACTATAGGGCATTATTAGCATTATTCTTAAATTCAAATACAGCTTGTCAGTAACTCTTAGGAGATATTAGAAAAGATACAGTACTACTATGGTACAAAAACCTAGAAAGTATAATTTCCATTGCATTCTATGTAAATGACTGGTGGGATGGTATGTCTTATCAGTTTTTGACAACAAACAGCTTCTTAATGGAGTTAGGAGTCTTAGGAATATGAAATTTTTGTAATTAAATACTTGTAAAATGAAAGGCACATCATCTATAATGAGTAATACTAATGAAAGCACTGACACTTTATTTTGACAAAGTAAAGTGTATAAACAAGACTAACTCTGATTGCTAACTGTTGCTCTTTTCTATCTCCTCCACATCTCTGATCTCTAATTGCTCTCACTAAAGTCTTTCACTCCATTTCTACAGTTACAACAGAACTGTAGAAGAAACACCTGCATCTAAAGGAACAGCAATAGTTCAGATTATGGATTTTTCTTCCAGAAAACTGTATATAAGAATGTAATTGTTTGCAAGTATCTGGGAAAAGAAGAGAAAGAAGAAATAGTTTGGCAGTAGAATATTTGGAACAAGAAATAATAAAATGGGACTGGAAAGAGAAACTACCTAATTTATTGCGGCTCTCAGATGTAGACAACATTTAAGAGTACCCTTCTGGCTAAAACTGTCATCAGTCAAAACACTGATTTCTTGACACCATTCCTTTTATAGACTCAGGGAGAAATAGCTATGGAAGTGACAAACCAAGCTAAAACAACCATGTAGGGGCTGAAAGAGAATAGCTGACAGAGAAAATGGGTGAAAAGGGTGTTTGAACAAGGATGGGAGCAAGGAAAGTGGCAGAGAGACCATCCATTGGAGAAATCAAACAGAAGTTTTAACTCTCTCAGTCAACAAAATTTTATTGGACACTTGCTAGTGTCCAATAGGTACAGTACTAGGTATAAGAAATAAAGAGATGAAAAACCAACAATCTCTCCCAGTCGAGTGAGTTCATTTCCCTTCCAAGCCAATAAGCATACTTGGTACCAGGAAGCCAGGTACTCTTAGATGCTAGTTTATGGTAGCGAACACAACAGATATAGTGGTCCCTTCCCTCATGGGGCTTGCAGTCTAGAGGTGAAAATTAACTTGCAAATTAACTTTAATACAGTGTGACCAAGGTTGTTCTTAAAAGTGTTACAGAAGCCAGGAGAAATAGCAATAAATTCTGGCAAGATGTGAAGAAAAGGAAGGCATGGAATGGACAGTTGAGGAAGGTTTCACAGAAACGGTGACATTTAAACTAGGTTTGGAACTTTTCCAGATACAAACAAAACTTTTCTAGATGCTAAGACATGGTACACTGGAAAGAACACTGATCTGGAAATTTAAGTTCTGATTACTAACTAGCTGTGACCCTTTAAGAGAACTCTCTTATTTATAAAAGAAGGTTTGACTCAATGAGCTCGTCCAACATTAAAAATCTAATCAAGTGGCTCAAATATAGTGTACAGGGAAAGACTAAATCAGGGGTTAGCAAACTATGGCCTGCAGACCAAATATGGCCTACCACCTATTTTTGCAAATAAAATTTTACTGGAATGCAGGCCTGTTTGTTAACATATTGTTATCTATGGATGAGCAGTTACAACAGAGACCATATGGCCTGCAAAGCAAAATTTTTTACAGAAAAAAATTGTCAATTCTTGGTCTAAATATAAAATGAAGCCTACCTTATACTTAGAAAAGAGAGTCAAATATATACTTATACAGGTTCTTTAGAAAACAAATTCATATCATCATTTTGCATTAAAATACCTACAATATAATTCTATATATCAGCTTCTTGCACCATGTACATATGAATAATCAATAAATATTAATGATTAAAGAAGAGCGAGGGGTAATGTAGGAATAATACTACCAGGCATAAACAAATGTGGTTTGGCATTATTTTGATAGAGGCAATTTTTATTTCAGTTCTTTGCATGTTTGTCCACATGGCCTGTCAATATCTATCAAGGCTGCAAACCACTTCTTCTTAAAGTAAACCTTCATAATATACAGAAAATTATAGAAAACTGTACATTATTGGACACAGCATGTTTTTAGACAATGGCAATAATTATTGGATTTTAGTGATGAATACTCACTTTTTAGTTTCATTTTTTAGGCTGCTGACTAAAGCCTTATATATTCTGTGTATGTTTATTTCTCTATTTTTAATTGAAATGTATTGATTGTACATATTTATGAGGTACAGAGTTATATTTCAGTGCATGTATACAATGTGTAGTGATCAAATCAGGGTAGTTAGCAAATTCATTATTGCAGAAATTTATTATTTCTTTGTGATGAGAACATTTGAGCTCCTCTCTTCTAGCCATTTGAGAACATGTAATAAATTATTGTTAATTATAGATGCCTAGCATTACTGTATACCACTAGAACTTATTTTTCCTATCTAGCTATAATTTTGTGTCCTTTAACCAACCTCTCACTATCTCGCCACCCCTCCCCTTCCCAGCCTCTAGTAACCACAATTCTACTCTCTAGTTCTAAAAGTTTAACGTTTTTTTGGCTCCCACATATAAGTGAGAACATGAGTTATTTACTTTATTGTGCTTGACTTAT